CATACCAAGAGCAAGGTGTGTAATACTCTCAGAGGTCTCAAAGAATTCCAGGGTAATGTCTAAGGCAGGGTTCATCAACCTTGGAAACTTAAAGACGGGTGGACTCCAACTCCCAGGCTGGCTGTTGAATTCTGGGAGTTGAAGTCCACCCGTCTTAAAGTTGCCAAGGTTGAGGAACCCTGGTCTAAGGAAATAAAGGCCTCTCTTGTATTGGCAAATGTCAGTGTTCATGAGAACACCATCAGGAGAACACTGAACAATAATGGTGTGCATTGAGAGACAGGAGGAAGAGCCACAGCCTAGACAATGGTCTGATAAACAAAATCTGAATCCAAACCAGAAATGTAATTTGAGAAAGTGCCTCAGAATTGATCCTCCCTAGTTTTCTGGAATGTAAAGGAGAGGAAGAGAAGCACATTCAGACTTACAAGATTCTGTTACTATAGCCAATCTTAATAAAAGTAGTTTTAGACCTATGTGGATTGTGTTTCTTGGTCTTGTCTACCCTGTAAGGCTGACATATATGCATACGCACATGCTAATCTCTTTCCTGAAGTTTGAGGACATCAGCCTAAAGGTTAGGCTTTTAACCTGGGAACAATAGCCTGTCTTCATCTGGAACCAGATGAGGTATGTAGTACCTGATAAAACAATTATACCTGCAGTAATTAGTAAGTTTAGGAAAACAAGAGGATTTTCTCTTTGTCTCCTTTTTTTCTCCTGGTAAAAATATTACCAACTCCTACTCATAGCCTATCCAATCTTTTTTTTTCTTCTTCTGAAGTAAGAAAACAAAGATGGTAAAATGCAAACAGAGAAAAATGTGGAAACTGGAATGCCATCACTGAATTTGGATTACTTCTCTTATTTGGCAGGGCCTAGATCTAGCCCACCCTTCTCCCTGAAAAGTGCACAATACAGCCACATCCATTTCTAGTTCAAAGCTAAAAGAAAGGTTTAAGATGTGGCAAGAAAAAGTTCAGGCTTCTCTATTGCTTTTCAATCTTTTTTCTCAAAACTTCTGAGTGAACGCGAAGGAGTATTTTTGATAGTCATAATAAAATTAAATTACAAATAGCTAATGTATGTCTGTGACCACTAGATGTCACTACTGCTATATATCATTTATAAGCAGATACTTTTAAAAGTATTTTAAGGTATAAAGGTTTCTAGAAGGGGTAGAGAAACTACCATTCCAAAGATGTTACTAAAGTGCAACTCCCAGAATCCCTCACTATGGACTCACTCTGGCGGGGGCTGCTGGTTATTGATATACACAGTTTCCATCTCATTTTTCTATTCAAATTAGTTACTCAAGGTAGCTTATACCATAAAACAAGCAAAAATTTCTAAGTGCTCTCCCATGTGTTTGATAAACTAGTTTCCTAAAAAAAAAAAAAAAAAAGTATCATTAAGAGATAGAGATAGTCCTCACTTAACAAGCACAACTGGGACTGGAAAATTGGTCATTAAACAGTGCGGTCATTAAGCGAGTCACATGACCAGACCCAATTTTACAATCATTTTATGACAGTTGTAAAGTGAATCACCATTGTTAAGCAAATTACGCAGTTGTTAAGTGAATCATGTGGTTGTTAAGCGAATCCAGCTTCCCCAATGGATGTTTTTTTGGCCAAAAACCAGCAAAAAAGGTAGCAAATTGCGATCACATGACCACAGAACTGGTCATAAATGCAAGCTGGTTGCCAAGCGCCCGAATTGCGATCATGTAACCACTGGGGTGATGTGACAGTTTGCAATGGTTGTAAGTGCGAGTACAGGTCATAAAGCACTTTTTCTGAGGCCATTGTAACTTTAGACTGTCATTAAATGGTCATTAAGCGAGGACTACCTGTACTCCTTGACCTGACTGAAGAATCCTTATTTCTGATTCATTGTAACTTGGGAAGATATGAAATCACTGAAAATTTAAAGTTTATATATTTTTAAAAGAAAAATAATTATTATACCATAGGGAAGACCAAGGTGGGCTGTATAAGTTCCACTCTGGGCCACATGACAGAGGCAGAATGGAAGGGGCTTTAGAATCGAATATTCAGCAACACTTTGAGCTGCTGTGCAATTACATTGAGGACTTTTTTCTGGAATGTTTTTCTCCACAGTCTAAAGCCTGGTTTTGTAACCTGGTCTTCCTTTTGCCAATTTCTTGCACGACATCAACTATGATCCCATTCTGCTTGGTTTTCAGAGAGTTCTTGTCAGGCCCAGCCCAAGAACAGTCATGAAACAGTTGAGTACAGTTCCTTTATTTGCTTATACCTCATAGAGAGAATCTTGCCAAACTAAATCTGTACTACAACAAGTAGTGGATATACCCTGTGAAATTCTAGGGACTGGCTATCCTGAATCTCTGATTCTTCTCATGCTCCCCCTGCGGACTATGCTGCCTCTTGCCTCCTCCCCTCTCCCGGAATGTACCTTCTCCTTCCTGATAGCCTTGATCTCCCACATCACTCTCCTCCTCGTAGATACATTCCATCACAGTTCTCCTGGTTTTCAGAGAGTTCCAGGAGAGACAGATTGCAAACCTCTTTACATAATTTATTTCCAATATTCTGTTGTGCTGGAAAAAATAACCAGGTAGAGAAAGCATGCAGAAAATAGTTTCTGGAATTATTTCCAATCTATAAAATATTGAACTCTGGATCCCATAACCAGGAGGGAAGAAGGCGGCTGGCTAAAAATGGAGCAGCCAGCAATACTCTGAACCATTTTTGGATTTTTTTCCTCTGAGCCCATGACCAAATACAGCTGATTTTCAAATTTAATCCTTAGTTTCTCCTGCTATATATGTTAACCCTTCAAGGTAGGCGAGGCCTGAAAACACACTCCACAAGAAATATTGGAAATTCACTATACTGATATGGGCTATAGTAACAAAATCTTGAAAGCCTGACAGTGTTTCCCTCCTTCCCTCTTATACCAAAGAAAGTTAAGGTGGAGTCAGTCTCTTTCTTTCTTAATTCATATTTTGCTGCATTCCTTCTGCAAGGTCATTTTTGTGGTTCTCTACAATACCAGATCTGGTCTTTCTTTTCCTGTTTTCAGAGAGTTATCCTGTTGGTAGAGAGAATCCCAAGCCTTTACACATTTTTCCCAGCATTCCATTAGGTTGGATAGGATTAAAAGTGTTGGCTAACATCCTCATTATGTTAAAAGTGTAAAATTTGTGTTTGTTGGGAGCAGGGACACATATGACATTAGCTATTTTCATTACTTTAATACAGTATTACAAAGATCAATATAATTTAAAGCTGAGGATGTCATCATACATTATATAACCAAAAGTTCACATTTATCAGTAAAGGGAAAAATATGGATTGAGCAAGAAGGCGGAAAAGAAAGATATTATACTTCAATGTTGGAAAGACGGTAGAACCCCAAATCTGAAGTCTTGGCCTCCTGTCAATGTAATGGAAAGTCTGATCAATATCATTTCATATTTGATGTATTTAAAAATTAGGCTGAATTATTTTCTATTTGTAATATGTTTTTGTTGTTTCTCTTTTTTCTTTTTTCTTTGCCTTTCTCTTTTTTATTCTTTTTTCTTCTTGCTTCTTGGTTTTTCTCCTATTTTTGTTTATTAAAGCAAGAAAAAGAGGTAAAAACTACTGCAGGACTTGGATTGCTGGATGTGACTGATATCCTGATGTTGTTGACACACACACTCTTTCAAGCACCTCTGAGCCTCCCTAAGGGAGGTTGAAAAAATATTTTGAAGTAACTTTTTATTATATTTGTGCAGGCTAAGTCTATCAACAGCTTTTAGCCAAGAATATCCACATTTGAGTGTTTATACTTCTAGTAAGATTAGAAAATAAGCCTTATTTTCAGCTTTCCACAATTATAAATTAGAACGGATCACTTGTTATTTTACCATATTTTACCATATTTATACACTGCCATAATAAAAATCCAGCTTCTTACAGGTTGAAAGTTTTGGGTTTCACGCAGCAAGGAAATTCTTATGCCTAGGATTTAGCATTTTAGCACTGAAGATAATTTGAGTATGCTAACTTTGGAACAGCGCTTTTCAACCTGGACAACTTTGAGATGTGTGGACTTCAACTCTCAGAATTCTTAGCAATGGCCATGCTGGCTGGGGAATTTGGGAAGTTTAGTTCACACATCTCAAAGTTGCCCATGGTGGAAAACACTGTTGTAGAAAGGAGCAAAAAAACAAAACAAAAAAACAAAAAAACCCACACCTTTTGGGAGACCTGGTGGCAGAGGTGATGGAAATGTTCTTACAAGAAACCAGCAACAAAAAGTCTACATCAATCTTATTCCTCATTTTTAAGGCTGACCCAGAATGCTTTGTTTCCAGAGGAGCTAGGTAAGATGCTCACAGGATAGGCAGTTGTACCTTATTTCAATACTGGTTGAAGAATATTTCCCACAACACCTGAGAGTAGTAGGCTAGATTAGAGGGAATAATATCTGCTTCCTGCTAGGCAATAGCTGATGTGGCAGCCTTACTATGTGTAGTGACTCAGCAGTCTAAACAAGATGTCCTGTTCTTTTGAATATTTAAAGCCTAGGTCCTCAGATCAGGACTGGGCCTCTTTTATTTAAATGGCTCTTTGAATATAATTTAGTGAAATCCATCCCATGATATCTGGCAGGGTTGGCACACTTTGGATCCCTTCTATGAAACAATATCACCAAGCAGGACCCAAGAGGCTTGTCTTCTCTGTTGCAGTTCCTGCCCTGAGAAACAGCATTCCTCCCCCCGTCCCCCGCTCCATGGTTTGGACAGTCCTGACCTTTCTGTCCTTCTGTAAGGCCTTTAAAACCTGGATCTTCTCCTGGGTGTTGGGCCAGAACATGGGATAAACCCGTGAAGAATGAAAGAATGAATGAATCTTGATTGAGATAGATGTGGGTTAGCCTCAGTTAATTCTATTCTGATAGTTATTTCTGTTATTTTATTATTTTTTTCTGCTCCAAAGGTGTATTATATTGTATTTTTAATTCCCTGTTTTCATGTTTTTGTATTAATTGGGAGAAAAAAAAGCTCTTAACATTTAAAACATTTCCATCTTTCACATGGAAAATACCTCTGTGTATCTTTATGTGGCAATTTGTAATTGAGAAAACAGCACAGGAGTGAAAGAGTTAACATCCCCTTCATCTACTGCTGTAGTCCAAAACTTATTCCACAACTATTCATTTAAAACCATTCTTCCATAGTTACAGATATTCTAGATTGCGTCAACTGGTTGTTTGTCCTCAAGTGGGCAATTAAAAGGGTCTGTAGGAAAACATATTTTTAGTAAGCTATGAAAGAACATTCATTCTTATTCAGGACAGAGCAAATGAAGGAATAGGAAAACAAGATATACTGTATACCTTTTAAATGTTAATATTTCTGTTTTCTCAGGCTGCTGAAAGTGTCTTTCTGTGATCCAGAAGAAATTTAGCTTAATTTCTGTTTCATGTATTAAAATCATATATAGATAGCACAATTTTTAAACCATTAATCAGAATTTCATACAACTCAGATACTTCTGGCAAAACTAAAAATCAGAATACTGTACATTTAAAGAGAACCAGAAATTGTCAAAACTTATACTGTTGGTTCTAAAATGATCTTGCAGGTCTGAAACATGACAAATAGACTCTAGGATACTAAATAACAAGTGCTTCTCTCATGTTTCTTCTATAATATGAGCCTGTTGATACATTAAAATTAGATTTGGTAATTCTTTAATTGCCCAATCATACTCTTTTATCAATTATTTTATTACTGCATTTTTATTGGTATTTCTTGCATTTTAAACCTGAATAATAAAGAATTTGGAATACCACATAGAGAAATTGTCCAAAATGCATGCAGCCATAATGGTACAATTCATAAAAACATAGTAATGGACAGTGATCACATTAATTCCCAAAGCAGTATGTTCTGGGAAGAGCATTACATAGAAGTTATATAAACCAAATTTACATTAATTGTTCACACTGATTTTGAACAGTCCAGCTTATTAATTTAAAAAAAAAATTCTGCTTATTTTATAAAAGGAATTTGAATATATTCGTTTTTATTCCCTGATATGAATACACTGCTTTGATAGTTTCCATTCTTGATCTGAAAGTTTTTTCAGAAATGCAATTCTACAACAAGCAGCCAATGTAGACAAGCTGAAAGTTGTTAGAGAACTAGAATTGCTTAATTCTTATTAATTTATTGTGTTTCCTTACAGTACTTATCTTTTTTAGAAAAATGCAAAAATAGCTTCCTAAATTCTACTCGTTAAAAAGCATTATTTTTAAAATCAGAAAATTTCAAAGATGCATATCCTGTACAGTTCAAGTCAAATCATTAATATAAAGTGTCCCTGAGTTATTTCCAAGAAAATTTTGCTTGAATGTAGCAAATGCTATATAATAGAATGATGGTTCCATGATACCTAGTAGGTATCGTTCACTGTTCGGCCTAGAATAAAGACAAAACCATATATGGTGCAGGTCACACAGAATAAATACATCTAATTTTATATCTACAAGGGAAACCAGACCCACAATATTCCACAGTTCTTTATCATTATTCTCCAACCAAGCAGCATGTGCTTTTCCATTGTTCTAGATGAATAATTCTCAAACATTTTACTTAAGAAGATCTGAATATTCCTTTTTGCCAAGGAATATTGAGAAATCATAAACCCTAAGACCTTTTGATATATTATGAGCATCTGTTTATGAAATTCTACGGTCTACTCTTTCGGAATGACACAACCAGCTTTTTTTTTTTTTTTTTTTAACCAATTTGAAAGGATGATGGGAAAAAAGAAAACATTTTGAAATTAAGTGAACCAACATGCCTACCTCAATAGATAGTATATATTTTTAACAAATGAAATACAAGCATAAATATTTAAATGCAGTGAAACCCTTCATTAAAATAGTCTCTTTAATTTATAAAAATTATAAATCTTGCCCTTGAAGAATGTAAACATTACCACGTAAGACTTGTATTTGAATACACAATCCAGTTGTTATGTCATCTGAAAAGTATTTTAAATTAAGCCACCACAATGTGCCTTCTCTGTACCCTTTATTCCAGTATCCTGTAGAGGAAGATTTTTTCCAGTATCACTCTTGTTTCTTGTTCTTATTACAACTGTGCACCTCCATTTCAAAGGGCTGCTTCCTTCTGGTGAGTTTTTGAGATTTGTTTGGTAGCACCAGTAATACCAGTATACATAAAATATGCATATGGAAATACAGTGATCTGTAAGTGACAAGAGAGAATATAAACCAATGAAAGTCAAGTTACCATCTGCAATACAAAACCATAGCTTTATTATATCAGTTTAATAAGTTTCATATCTCAGCCAAAGCCCATCATGACAGCTGAAGTGATATTCTGAGCAGATCATTTAAGGGGCTTTTACATGGGGCATTTCCTGTTCATCTGTTCATACACCTGTTCACTCATTCTAATGCACAATTTGAAACTAACACAAATAACTTACTTGTATAATTTAATTGTCGGCTCAACTGCAAGAAGAACAAATGGTGCCACGGTATAGGAAACCGACAGCTGAGTTGCCAGCCAGGTGACCATGCCATAGCCCACCTTAAGTAGCTTTGGTGAGATGAAGATGTGTTGACAATTGTTTCTAACCTTATAAAAAAGACAAAAATGTTTTAAAAGAATTTTGAAATAGTGCTTCTCTCCCAGATTTCTAGTCTATGCATATGCATAGTTCTGATGAAGTTTTGCTATAATGAATGAAAATATTTGCTTTCTCCTTCTTATTAGTAAATTTAAAAAAAAACAACCTTTCAAAGTTATGAGGAAAAGTTAGTAAGATTAGCAACTGAATGGAATTGGTAGAAATATTGCCAATATTAACTGTATGGATAAGCCCCTCCATCTCAATTGAGTAAACGAATGCTATAAATTCAGTCAGAATTTTTTCCCCAAGGTCCAAATCTAGCATAATAATTACCATGTAAAGACTTATCTGAAATGGCACATATGGATCTATACAAATAATAATAATAATAAAAAAATACACCACTTGTTTGAACAGTTTTACATCTAAATCTCATTAAATAACAGGATCTAACTTACAAAAAGATCTTTAAACTAGTTACACAGTTATGTAAGTACAGGAATGTAATACATATTCATAATTATATTTATGTGTGATCAGAACATGCAATAAATTACAATAATATCCTTTTTCTGTGTCTATTATCCAAACTGCCTCAAGAAACCTGAATTCTGCAATCAAAGAAACAGACAAAACAGTATTGATTTCTAAACATAACAGGTCATAAACAAGTGCACACTAGGGTTTTCAAAAAGCTCAGGATACACTATCAAGTATTAGCTATCCAGATAAGCAATATGATTACTACACCCACAGACAGACAAGAAAAAAAAACAATTCTGACTTTTGTATGGGTAGTCCTCGACTTATGACAACAATGGGAACTGGAATTTCTGTTGTTAAGCAATGCGGTTGTAAAGTGAGATGTTACATGACTGCATTGCTTAGCGATGGCAATCCCAGCATTCCCCCTTGCCATCGTTAAGCGAATTTCACCGGTCATTAGCCGAGGACCTACCCCAATCTAAGCCATTCCAGACTTGTTCCCTCCCAGGCCCGAGCCTCAGTAATGTAAGGGACTGCCTCCAACTCCCCCCACCCACCTATCTCCTTCCCATCTCTGCCCTTTTGGCCACCCTGCACCCTGCCTTGTGGGGCGGCAAGCAGCCTCAGAACCGCGCAGCTCTGGGGCTGCTTGCCATGCTGCGGTTCAGGGGCTTCTTCTTGGTGCACTGAGGCTCCATAGCTACAAGAAGCCCCTGAGCCACAGCGCGATGCTGCAGCTGCCCCTGAAAGCTTCAGATGCCCCAACCCACCCCGGCAAGTACCAGCAAGCCGCAGCACCCGGGAAGCCCCAGCAAGGGCCAGCAAGCATTCATGCACCCAGCTGCCTTCTCTCCCAGTTCCCCATAGCAACTTTTCACCTTTTGCACCCAGCTACCATGGCTGAATAGAAGCACCTCACTGCCTTTACTGTCTCCTTTTTGGACCCAGCTTCTCCAACGAACGTTTCCTATACGTGGCCAGCCTGGCCTAGCAGTGCAGTGCAAATAAGAATGCCAGCCAACGGGGAAGTCTGGAAGTGGTTTTGCCCAATCAGAAAGCCTTTGGAAAGCTGTGCTTTTTCCAAAGGCAGCACAGATTTCTGAAGGCTCAGGGAGCCACGTGTAGGATATGTTCGCTGAAAAAGCTGGGTCCAAAAAGGGGACAGCAAAGGCAGCGAGGTGCTTCTGCTTTGGCCGTGGTGGCTGGGGACAAAAGGTGAAAAGCCAGTGTGGAAACTAGGAGAGAAGGCAGCTGGGAAAACAAATGTTTGTTGGCACTTGCTGGGGCTTCCTGGACGCTGTGGCTTGCTGGGGTGGCTGAGGCTTCCATGGGTGGCTGCAGCTTTGCTCTGCACCTCAGGGGCTTCTTGCAGACCCAGAACTGCAGGGTGCCAAGAAGCCCCTGAGCCGCAGCGTGGCAAGCAGTCCCAGGGTCGCACAGTTCTGGGCCTGCTTGCTGGCCTGCAAGGCAGGGTGCAGGGCAGCCAAAGGGGCAGAGATGGAGGATGAAATAGGTGGGTGGGGGGAGTTGAAGTACCCCTGTGGTCACAAATGTGGGTGGGGTACCAAGCGCCCAAATTTTGATCACGTGACCGTGGGGCACTACAATACTTGTAACTTCAGGGACCAGTCATAAGTCCATTTTTCCAGCACTGCCGTAACTTCAAACAGTTGCTGAATGAATGGTTGTAAGTCGAGGACTACCTGTTTACTGATTTCAATAGGAGAAACTGTTCCATGTACTAATTACTCTAATCTGAGATGGCTACTCAATGAAATGTATAGGAAACAAGTGTACATACTTCCAAAAAACATGATGTTTGAGATAGACAGAGTTTAATACAATGAAGAGAAAACTTGTTCTGCTTTGCAAATCAGTAGCCCTTATGGGACCTATGATTAACATATCTGAGGTTGTACCCACAGGAAAAAAAAAACAATGAACAGGAATACATACTCTTCTGGCTGCCAGTGTCATAAGGATGCCAGTGATAAATGTAAAATAATATCCAGGATAAACACCATGCCAAAGAGCTGAGAGAAGAAATGTTAAGGCTGTAGGATACCAAGAAGCCCGATCATAACATACACTGAGAAGAAAATTAGAAAAGTAAGATATATGCAGATTACATATAATTATATCTGACTTTATTGCTATATCATAGAATCAGAAACACATCTGACTCTCTGTCTGCTTCAATCAAAACTGGTCTTAGAAGAGATATTAAGGACTAGATACAATTTACAGACTATTCCCCTATTTCACGACACATAAAGAGAATGGCAAAAAAAAAATTCTGATTTTAAATACCATCATTAATGTAACTCAGATATTTCATACCTAGAGAAATCTGAAATCTTAAAAGAAGAATAAGCACCTAGAACATCCATTTGCAAGGCCCAGATTATTCTGATTCCTTTTATTCTGTGCCATTTACTAGAATGTTCTCATAATAGTAACACTTCAATATCATTTAATGCTTCAGCTGTTATACGTTTTCCATGGAAAAATAATTTAAGTATTTGTATGGCTTCTACAGTACATACCTTTATTTTTTATTAGAAACTTACATAATTTCTATTTATGCTTCAGATTAACAGTCATGGTTACAATTATTCGTAGAAATGTTGCTCAGGTGAGAAGTGCAAAGAATCTTATGTTTGAAGCATTTTTTTATTGCCTCTGTTAGTGCTTAGAAGCATCACTTTTTAAATTCCTAAACATATCTGGCAGTGATCTAATAGTTAAACTATTTTCTATGGAAAGGGATTCTCTTCCTCTTCTATCAACATGTGGAATTAAAGAAAGCATTGATTGTATGAAAAGCTTAATCCGCAATCATTTTAGAACATAGGAAATCAGTAGTGATAGTAAAAGAACACATACATACACAAACACACACACAAATTAACTGAAGATACAGTGGTACAATACAAAAATTAAAACTAAATTATTTTGGTCTAAGGTTTTTGATCAATTGCCAGAAATGGATACGTAGGGTGGCATTATTAAGTAAACAGTATAATTTGCAGACTCCTGTTTTATCCTAGGGCCAGGAGCATACTGTGAAAATCTTCGTTTTCTTTCATCATTATAACATGAGAATTCCAGAAAGAAAACAGCTTTCATTTTCACTGAATGAACACTATATCTCTAAAATCGTATTTTTAAATAAACATTGAATCACTGTCGAAAAACCCACAAAACACTGAAGTATTTTACCGTTTAAGCCAGACAGTTGTTTGAATATTCCAGTTTTCTAAGTACATTTTAAAACTTGTTGCCATCTAAGAGTGAAAAAAAACCCCCCATGTATTATTAGGTTAACTTCATACTAAAAATGTCAGTTTCCACCCATATTTTAAGTTACATTAGTTCTGTAATGTTGCATTACAGCTATATTTTTTTCTTCTTTCTTTCATCAATAGATTGCAATTTGGCGTTCATTTATAAAAGTTTTTTTTTTTTTACTGGTAAAAACCAAGAAAAATATATCATTTCAGAGACCTGTCTTTAATCTCTTTATTTTCAAATATTTGGGCTTTCACAATGTTTAAGAAATGTTTGTGGAAAAATATCAGTTTTACTGTATTTGGATATGAATAAGCAGGTTTCTCCTTTTCAGAATGGACATAATCATGATGATGATGATGATAAAGTAAAAGTATCTGATCATTTAAAATCCAGAATGGCCTCTGCCTTTTGTCTGCATATTGTACTTGTGCAGCAAAAGCAACATCTTCCTGCAAGAAGTTATCTCATGAAGTTCGGACTTTCTTCTTATATCTTCTGGGCCTTTCTCAGAAGCTTGTGCAGAACGTTCATTTGGAACCCTCTGCCATTACTTCTCATGGCTTCTTTGTTTTACCTTTTCTTTTTTGCCTACTAATCCAGTCTCTGTAAACAGGAATGTGTGGGGAAACCCCAACTATTTCAATAATCCTTGGGATTATATTTTGTCTGATTAGGTTTACTATATTGAATGGCAAGAACTTATTCCTCTGATCAGTTCAAGTTGTGAAACATTCTTTCGATGGGTTCCTTTCCCTTTGGGTTCTGCAGCAATTTCTACCCCACTGTTGTCTCTAAAGAAGGCCCCATAACATTTCACCTTACCTCAACATTCCTGATATTCAAATTAGACAGTAGATCCCAGCGATAATTGCCTTTCTCATCCACACCATTGAATCCAAAACCAGCTGCATTATTAATTGCATCAGCTGCAAGAAAAGCAAAGCCTAGGCTGAAATATAAAAAGCCACTTGAATATGCGTAACAATTCTTAGTGTAATCCATTTCATGTCATGTCCTAATAGAACTGTCTTTCAATCCCCGCTTTAGTAGGTTTACCATGCAAGATATAAAATAGTTGTTTTAGAAATTATGAGTTAAACTCCCTTTGGATATATAAAAGGCATTGCTGGTTCTTTGTAAGTAGGCCTGACTTAGAAAGCAAGTTCAATGAAGCAGAAGCCAAATTTATGTAATATATTGTATAAATGTTAGTGTCCAATTAACAAAATGACTGCTTCTGAAGGAGTGTAACAGCATTTTATTTAGAATTTCAGTTCAGTTAAATTTATGTGCAGAGTTGAACGTTTTTAAAGTCATATATTGGAATATATAATTGTGAACCAAAAATAACTGAGTCTTACAATAGTATTTTTGCTTTCAAGGAAACAGCTTTGGAGCTTTTAGCACTTTGAAGACTGGTTTTTAGTTTGGCTTCTAAATAAAATTTATCAATTAATATTAGACCAGAATGACCTTTCAATTGTTTTGCGTTATTTTCTTCAATAGCAAATCCATGCTGATTTTCACATAAAAGGAGGCCTGTACTATTCTACAAGCAGGACTTGCTTAACAGCAGTCTTATTTGATCATCAAAATACTATGTTCTGATAGATATACTGTGTAGAGAAAGAAAAGAGGGAATTAATGTCATTCAGTGTTAAAAATAATGAGAAACCCTAGCATGAACAGGTTAGAATAGCACTTTGCTTTTCTCCTTTCCCAATACAGAAGGTTATTTATTATCCCAATTGTTCCACAAACTCAATTCTACATTTTGTTTCCAACTACAGGGGAAAAAATTCAAACTATCTAATGCATTTTTTTTCCTTCTTAACTTATGCGTTTCCATTTTTTCATACATATCAGAGTCACTTGGATTGAGATGGGCGGCTATAGGAATGAATGAATGAATGAATGACCATAAAATTTTTACTCAGCAGATTGCTGTGACCAGAACATTCACAATACATTGATAGCTCCTGCCTTCAAGGAACATTATAAAGTGAAAACACAAACTTAATTCTCTGAACTCTAATGTTATCCTCCATGGAAAGCAGAAGGGAAGTCAGCACTAGGTCTAATCTGAGAACTTCATACTCAAGGCACTGTAGAGCCTGAGTCACTCTGTGACTCATCTTTGCCTCACAGTTTCATTGCGGCCTGTCCACACACTGTATAACTGACTGGGTTTGCACAACACATTAAGCCAAAACCAAACAAACCATAATATGATTTAGCAGATTGTTCATATCCTTCACAGAGGATGATTTGACCCAGTATGTTTGTTCCATCCTGTTTCTGTCTGGATTGTTTTTAAGTCTTAAAATATCCACTGAACTTTAAGACAGCTGAGCTTGAAGGCAGCAGAAAACTACAATGGCTGCTCTGCTTTGGGACTTGCAAATACTTCTTAAAATACTATCTGGGAAGCAGCAGTACTTTGTGACGTGGTGATAGAACAGACGTCTTTCTTCTTGAAAATGTCCATCTGATCTTCTCAGAAACAATCTACTGGGGAGGGAGGGAGAAGCAGGCACAAGACACCCATCTTTCTTTCAAAAGGTCATCCAGGGATGGGAAGTAAATCATATCATTAAAATGCTTAGGGGTACAAGCATTCTCCAAAATAAGCTTCACTTTCTGGCAGTTGCATATAGAAGCAGCCTTTTCCCAGACCATCTCATATTTGATGAAGAATGTAAAGTGAACCACGTTCCAATATACAACTATGGATGCCATGAATTCCTAAAATTGGGCTTTCTGAATGGCTCCCATCCTGAGTATCTGCTAGCATTAAAATGAAGATCCTCTGCATATTGCAGTTTGTGGCAGGACCGGTGGTCTACTTTGCCTAAACTGTCCTGCTCCTGGAAAAGTTAGACCAGCCTTTCCTAACCTGATCCTATAATCTCCTAGCAAGCACAACCATTATAAGATTGTGGAATATGACCCAACGTATCAGGAAGATACCAAGACTTAAACTAGATGGATGATGCTATATTTAATAAGTAAAATGGACTGAACACTGTTGATGTCCTGGACTGTGTGCTTGACATCACAGTAAGAACTGTTATAGAATTGCAAGGACAGGGACAATGCAAAGAAAGTAAGTCTAACTAAAAATATTATCAGATAATTAATGCATATATGAATTTTACATTATCTGGTACCCTCTGACACTTATTCAGACTAGTAAAGAGATCTGTACCTCACATTAGAAAAGTCACAAATTTTAATTAAAAATAATGTGCTTAAAGTCAGGTGTATAATACAATAATATTCCTTTTTTTGCACAACATAAGACATTAATGTTGCCTTAATGGATCAAATGGATACATCGACCTTAAGTATAGACGTGCCCTGAAAAAGAACCTTAAATAAGCCTTACCAAGTGTCCAAGCAAAGTAGTATTTTGGCTTTGAGGCTTGCATGACAACATACAGAAAACCAAGTCTTGTCAAGAATGAAGATTGTTTTATAAATTGATTATCAACAATATAAGTTGCTGGGAAGGTCTTGGTAAGTGTCAGGAACAAAAGCAGAGATACAAGTGTGATACAAAGTTTGTGCAGGATGGCTCCCTACAAGGGAAATAGAATAAAATATTGCTGTGATCACATCAGAGAGAATAAAGCGTTTTTAAAAAAAGACTAACTAAAAGCATTTTAAGAAATGAACTGGTGAAAGTATGATTCATTGTCAGAACTTGTTAATTTTGAAAAAGGTACTTTCTTCTGGACTATTACTATCAGTGATGACATGGTCTCTAGTAGTGGAGGCAGCATGCCTCTAACAGCCATGGCTGGAGAGCATAAATATAAACATAAGCAAGTCTTCCTTGTGAGCTTCTCATGGGTCTCTCATCCCCTACTATAGGAACAGAATGCAGGACTTGAAGACTTTTCTTTTAAACCAGGAGAACTCGTTTTATGTTTTAATTTGCAATAGTAATTGATACTGTTTATTGTGAAAACAATTTCAGCATTTAAGAATAAAGACTTAGCTTACCAGTGGAGAAGGATCAGAAAGTCTATCACAGCTCCTCTGTTTCCAGTTGACCTCTAATAACTTCATTTGCACATGTCTCCCTTCAATGAAAGCGATGTAATCTTTAAAATTGCTGCATGGGCCAGCAATAATACTCATGAAGTTGAGCTGATAGCTCAGATACTCCAATAAGGAAGGTCTTCTCCTGTCAAAACAACCATGAATAAATGTGTATAAGTATATTTCAAATAAATTTTGAAAAAGAAGTAAATATTAAATGTTTAAGTAAATAACAACTTTATTTTAAACATAATTCAAGTCTGAGAAAGAAAAACTAGTGAAGCACACAATAAATTTGTAATTCACTATACAACTGTTTGAGGGACAACATCAAGATTGAAAATCCTCCTACAATTAAATTTGGAGATTGATTATTTTATTAATAAAACAATTGTATAGGCAAGAGAGACCACATAAAGAATTTATCCATGAGGTGATCTGATTATACAATTACTGTATTTATACATAGGTGTTTATGTAATGGTGTGTATTCAAATCTTTTCTACTACATGTGCAATTTCTGTTATCTTTGTCTAACATTTCACTTCTTCCTAGAGCAGACATGAAATTCTTACCTATAACTCTCTCTCTTTCAATTTGGGGTATTTGTTTAAATAAGGTACATGGTGTATATATAGAAAAGTAAAGCTAGAATTCAAAATCTCCTTTTGAGAATCTTACAAAAGTGACATTTAGTTTAAATATTTGTATGTGCATTGTAGTTTTAATGAGAAAAAATAAATTAAAAATCAATTCTATTCTTTATACATTTGGGCTATGGCAAAGAAACTTTATAAGAGGAAACTTGCTTTCAGAGAGAATAGATATCAAATACATAAATAATTCCAGAATTTAAAAGTGCATGGATAATTATTTACATTACATTAATTAACTCTAGATAGAAACTGCATAGCAGAAGTAAACATCCAAGATAACCCAGTAAATATCCAAAATAACCCAACTATTTTTTTTATTAGTTTAAAAAAAATCATAAGTGCTACTGTATTTTCTTACTTTATAGCATGCTGATTCTGTTCAGAAGTTAGATCTTCAGCTTTTTTACCTATTCCTATTAAAAAGACATAATTAAATCAAACTTTGCAAAATGAAGGCCTACTATAAAAGGATAATAATTAAATGCAATTCTAATGATAATTCATACATTACTGGATGCTGCATATAACCCACATTTATTTCCTGAGGGCTACAGAAAGGGGATTTGGGTTGCCCACAACTGCCTTAGATGATTCCAAACAATTATGCTGGTTTATGGCTAATGGAATGCTTAATATATACATCTATTATAAACTTACATTAATTGAACGTTCATAGTTCCTCAGATTAGGAACTGTAATTAGCAAGGAACTCCAGCTATCCCAGCAGTCTTCTTACCAGACTGAAATTTCACAATAGAGGAAGAAATATAGTTCAGGGTAGCAAGTGCATTTTTCTGCCAAAGGCGCCAGACACTGCCAGGGTCCTTTGTTTAAAAGAATAAAGTACTAGATAAATGGTAGCTAGAAAGCTACCAACAGTCCAGGTAGATAGTATTACACTAGATTAACAAACCACATTAGTTGATAAAAAGCAATTTTACTGTTCCTATAAAATGAGATGAGATGAAAGATTAATACAATGAGATGAGATTATAAAATGAGATATTAAATCCGTAGTTTTATATGAATGTATTATGAGGAAATCTCATTGAATGGACTTCTGAGCAGAAATAGGACTGGTACAAATGTGTGACGTAAACAGACTGTTTGATTCTTATCTGGACCTATATGGTCCAACAATGTCTTCAGGTACTCCTCCACTCAGGTGTTAAAACTGGCTGATTTCAAAAAAGTTTAAGCAGAGAACTAAGCCTATCAGGAAATCCCAGGTCTACAGAGTGGACTAGGAAGTTGAAAAAAGCATAATGGAAGTAGGGAATGGTAGGACCCTTCCATACAGTTACCAAGAAAACTGTATCAACATGATGATGTAGTCTCCAGGAGTCAATCTCGATCTGAGAGAAATTTTTATCTTTTTAAAAAATTACTTAGACACCACCTATTTTGATTAGATAATTTTGGATGGGCCAAAATTTCATATAATGTATCACTTACATGACATAATTGTTGAATAATGAAAATGATTAAAAAACAAAACAAAACCCAAACCGAGAATTTCAGGATTTAAATTTTCTCATTTATTCCAGTAATGCAGATAAGCCAGAACACAATGTTGCAAAACACTGTTAAGGGAATGTGAAACCTACAAATTTTCATTCTAAAAATAAATATTGATACTTCTGCTTTCAAAGGGAAAATGAAATTGATAATTATTATGTGAAAAGGGGTCTATGCAATTTCTATACTCTCCCATAACTAACAAAGTCATTTAATCAGTTAAGGAAACCTGGAGGATTTGTTTGTTTGTCTGTTTGATAATTTATATCTTTTCCTCCAGGAGTTACAGAGTGTGGGCCAGTCATTCTGAGAGCTTCCATGGCTGAGGATGGACTAGAACCTGGATCTCCTGAGTCCTAGTCTAAGACATTAGCCACCATACCTCATTCTTATTTTTTAATCCTTCTATAAATTTGACTCAGTCCATCAAAACAACTAAGGACGTAATTTCAGGCATGATTTATATAGCAGAATATTTATTATGTTTCAGTTCTATTCTAATTATAATAAAAACAGTAGAGCAAATAAGGGTTAAGAAAGTAAAATTGCTTATATACTTCAGGCTTTATTATTATTACCAAACCTTAATTATAACAAGATGACTTAAAATCTTGGCAGATGCAATGCATACTGTCTACTTTTTCCCCAAAGGCTGCCAATGTCTATTTAGAGAATTATGCACAAGATGGAATGGAAAATAGAAATGTAATTTTTCTTACCATCATGAATCTGGAATGCAAGAGTTGTGATCTTTTGGGTTACAATCATCAATGGACTGTAATACAATGCAGAAAGATAGCAGGTATCACATTTTGCATGCTTCAACGTGTTTATATTTTCCACCTTAATGCAAGTAATGGTTTGAAACAAGCTGCAAATCAAATATTTTTGTACCAGTTCCCATCAGCCCCAGATAAAATGGCAGGGACAAGGGATTATAGGAATTAGTAAAGTTCAGAGTATCCAGAAATTACCAGAATGTCTGCCTGTGGCAGTCAGTATGTATGTAGACTGTGCTCATACAGCACAGTAAGACATAGTTTGCTTAAGCATGGATTGATTAAACCACAATGGGTTGCATTCATATAACAATCATAAATCATGGTTAACAAACCACAACAGATGGATTAGCCCAGTGACCTAAACCAAAATTGACCCAACTCTATGGTTTAACAGGTTGTAGGAACTCAGCTGTACAGAGCTATTTTCACCATGACAATAATCCACGTTAGGCGATATCACATACTAGGCTTCACATGTGTCTGAAAAAGTGAACTTGCATCTTCCCTGTTCAGAACTGATACTTCATGTGCGTTTGAAATTCCACAGGCTGCAATCCTCATTAGAAGGCAATCGTTTTGTGGACATTAGTTTTACTTCCAAACAAACATACCAACAATTGCAGTGATGGTTCAATGTCAGGCAATAGCAACGGGACTTTATACATCAGGATTCACTTACTGAAATTGAAACCTTACAAGGCTACCCTGAGGACTGTTTAGCGATTACAGGCTGCATACAGTGCAGGCATTTGCTGCATGGCAAGGAGGGCAAAGTACAAAACAATATCTTATTGCTTTGTTGGTTGCATTTTAATACTTTATAAAACTTTTAAATGGTTATATTTTAATGCATGTTTATGGATCTTTCTTGCTTTAGGAAATTTGTTCTGAACAATAACATTCAATAGCAGTGGCAAGAATACAAGGCCACGCATCTGAGACAGCTGTTCCGTAATGGGTTGATTACATTCCCTTGTCAGCATATCCTCTTGATCAATTACTTCTGTGTTCAAACACACAGCTTACAAGTCAAGCCAATTTTGTAGCAAATTCATTACAAGTTGATCTCCAGGTACACATAGTTCAAATGACATTGTATCTTCCCAAATGTGCATGCATGTATAATTAACAAGTAGCTTGCTTTGCAGAGAAACATTGTAATGGACCCAATCTATGCTTTCAGCATTAGGCTGAAACACCAGAATCCAAACTACATCCAAGATATTAGCTTAATTTAGACAATTCACTATCTCAGTAATTCTTAACTTTAATTTTTCATCTATGAACTTGCTTTGAGAATGAAACTATTACACATACATTAAACAAAAGGCTACCCTAACAGCAGCCAACACTGTGAGTGGGACGATCATTTTCATTTGCTGTACTTATTCCACTGTTAGTAGCAGTGAGTTTCACAAAATTAGTAACAGAGTAATAAATACTAAATAATTCCAATTCAAACTGAGCAACTGAGGTTTGATGCAAAACTATAAAATATGGAATTAAAACTGCAATTATTTTTAGGAGACTACCCATCATACATACATGTATAGCTCTTCAAGATAAATTAAAATTAGGGTACTGTTAGTTTTCAGTCTTGTCATATTTCAATGGTTACAAGTTTGCCAGTACAGGTAGTCCTTGAGTTATGTCCGTTCATTCAGAGACTATTCAAAATTACAACAGTGTGAAAAAATGGACTTATGACCAGTCCTTGAAGTTCCAGCCATTGCAGTCCCCCTGCAGTCATGTGAAAAAAAATTGGGCCTGCCCACATTTACAATTGCCTCCCTGCTGCCACCCCACCGCCATCCCCAGGTGACCATCATCTTAGCCTGGGAAAAGGCAGGAGTCCCAGTCAAGGCTGGCAGGTGAGAGCAGTGGGCTGGGCAGCAGGTGCTGTAAGCGCATGCTAGGGAGTGCAGGGCTTGAAGTAATGTGGGGCTTGCTGTGGCGTGGGGCTTGCCACAGCACTGGGGCTTGTGGTTGGCCAGTGCTGCTGGGGCTTGAGGCTGGCCCAACCCATTTCTTATCTATAAACAAATCTATAAAGCATTGTCATTTCAGTCCTGGTGTCAGCAAAAGTCTATTAAGGGTTACCAAAGATAACAACATATCCATTTTAACCTTGATCAAATAAACCAACTTTATATTCCTTCCTTTTACTTCTAACAATCTTTAGTCCATTCAAATAATGTCATAGAACCTAGAAGAGTTGATGAACAAAACAGGTTTCAACACAGAGAAAAAGGTTAAATATTTGGGTGTTAATCTGACAGATATGAATTGTATATTGTTCCAAAATAATTACGTTAAGACATGGAATGAAATTAAAAAATATATGTTAAGATGGGAACAATTAATTAAGATGTTAAGATGGGAAAAATTGTTATTGTTGGGAAGAATTTCTGTGATTAAGATGAATGTTTTACCTAGAATGTTATTCTTGTTTCAAACAATACCTGTTGTGACAACTGATGCTCCATTTAAACAATGGCATAAAGATATATCTTAATTTGTGTGGCAAGGTAAAAAACCATGAAGTACAAAGTGTTAAAGATGCTAAAGAAAGAGGTGGTTTAGGTTTACCCAATTTGACATTGTACTTTGCAGCTTGTTGTTTAGTTTGGATGAAAGATTGGGTAACTCTGAGAAACAGGAGGTTATTAGAACTACAAGGGCATGATTTGAGATTTGGGTGGCACGGCTATTTATGGTTTGATAAAGTTAAGGTTAATGTAGATTTTAAAAATCAGTTTATTAGATGTGCCATATTGAGAATATGGAACAGATATAAAGCTGGGTTATCCCCAAAGATTCCTTTATGGTTTTCACTACAAGAAGCTTTTTATAGAAGGGAAATGATAATTAAGCATAAATGGTTAACTTATGGTGATGTACTAGAATTTTCTCAAGGGGACTTCAGAATAAAAACAAGAGAGGTTTTGACATCAGAAGGTTATATATGTCAATGATTTTCATATGTACAATTACAAGAAAGATTTAAAGAAGATAAAAGGACTTTTGGTTTTGAACATAGTAAGACTGAATTTGAAGTAGACTTATGTACTAATGATGAATATGTTATTGCTACGATGTATAAATTTTTATTGAAATTAGAAACAGAAGATGAACAAGTTAAAGAATGTATGATAAAATGGGCTAAAGTTTTGGGTATACTATACCAATGGAACAGTGGGAGAATATGTGGATGAAAGGACTGAAATTTACATTGTCTTACAATCTTAAAGAGAATTTTTATAAAATGATGTGTCATTGGTACTTGTCACCAGAAAAATTATCTAAAATGTATAAAAGTACATCAAATTTATGTTGGAAATGTGAGAAAGAGGGGACTTTCTATCATGTTTGGTGGACTTGTAAAGAAGCTAAAAAATTTTGGAATCAAATGCATACTTTAATTCAGGAGATTTTAAAGATTAATATACAATCGAAGCCAGATACTTTTCTTTTGGGATTAATTGACAAACAGCTGGAAAAACCTCATGGAACTGTTTCTATATATCGTAACAGCAGCAAGGCTTTTCTATGCACAAAAGTAGAAAGACTTGACATTACCTACAATGGACGAATGGATGGTGAAGTTGATGGAGTTGGCTGAGATGGCAAAACTGACAGCTTTGATTAGAGAAAAGACACTGAGTAATTTTAATGCCAGTTGGAAGCCTTTTTTGGACTTTTTGCAAGAAACAGAAAAAAAATGAAATGATGATATATTGATTTGACAACTAGAAATAATAGTGAACGATAGAAAAAATAAAAGTTATGTTGTAAACTTAGAGTAAGAGCTTAGTGTAAATTGATACTTATATCTGTTGTGAGGAAAGTTGGAAGGCGTTATTTTTTGTACTTTTTCTTTTTGCACTTTTGACTTTCTCTTCTTTTTCATTTTCTTTCCTTTCTCATTCTTTATCTTTAATATTAGTTTTTGTTAGTTGTTATTGTTCTTATCTTAACATCTAATAAAGTTATTTGAGACAAACAATGTTGTAGAACTTGATTTCTTTTCATTTTTTTCTTTGTCCCTTCTCATGAGAGTCTTCAAAGCTTTAACAAGCCTCTTTTGTAAATGTAAATCTAATATAGGAAAATTATCCATGTCACTCTCTTGGTTTGTTGTTTGTATATCCCTTTTAATTATTAAGACATTAGCCGGTGTCTTATGTATGTCCAATGTAACATCTTTTTCCATGTCATTTTTGTAGCCTGTCATTTTCAAATCCACTTTCAGCTCAGTCTTGATCTTGTCAGGTAGAACTTGTTCCTCTTCTATAACATCTTTTAGACAAAGTCTATCTATAGAGGGAGACACTCTTAAAATTAACTTCTGGGTCCATTGTTCAAAAACATCCTTCAATATGTCCAATGTTAAAATATTTTGCTTCATTCTGTAATTGTAAGTCAAGTTTGAGTGTTTTTCTCCTTTAATTATAACCTTTAATTCCCTCTAGTGTCCTATTTTTAAATTCAAAACAAAAGCATTTTCCTAAGGGAAGGATTCTTTATAATTAATTCCAAAATCTTATTTCAAATTTATCTGGACCCTTAGTTCATTTGTAACTTTCTAAAATCAAAGTTTTAAACACTCTTTTGCTGAATATTCCCTCCAATTTTTTTAAAGTTCTTAAACCTGTAAATCAAACTTCTTTCACTAAGGATTGAAGGAAACTCAACCAATGCTATAAAACTTGTTGATCCAAAGGTTCCTAATAGCTGAAAAGCAGTTAATAAGTTATTTCCAAAACTGATTGGAAAAGGAAGTATGCGAACTTAGTGTTCCTTTCAAAGGTGCCAACCACATTTTGAGCAAGATGGCTATTCCCTCATCTCCCAGAGCCCTAAACCTGCAAGATAGTGGTCTCCTTTTGAGGAGCAGCTGTCTGGAGTACTTGTGAGCAATCTCAAGTCCTCTCCTTGTCTGGAGAGGAATTATCAAGGAGCCGGTCTACTTGCCAGCTCTTCATTCCACCGTGGTCGTTAGCTCTGCTGTTTGTGGAGCCATCTTGACTCTGCCATTTCTTCCCTCCGATATATCTGAGTAAATTGTGATACTTTTCAATTATGTTTTCTGGAATTATTCCCAATAAAAGATATTTGTAGTTTCAGTTCAAATTTTATGTTTAAAAAATTATGAATGTTTGATGCATTTCCTTTCAATGCTATTGAATTTTCTTTGTGTGATTACCACATGTGGCAAAATCTTCCTTCTTTGTTGTAGCATTTCCAACATTTGTTGTTTTATGATTTGTCAGTCTTATTATCTTGGTTGATTTAAGGGCACTTTTCCCAGCCCAGTATTTTCAAATTGTGTTCACATATGCTGCTATTGAATTAAAGGATCTGTCATCTCAGAATACCTGAAGAATCACTGGCAACAGCATCTCCAAAAATACTATCCAAAATGTACTCAGATCTCCTGGCCCCCTGCAGAACAGGGTTTCTCAACCTTGGCAACTTTAAGACATGTGGACTTCAACTCCCAGAATTCCTGGTTGGGGAATTCTGGGAGTTGAAGTCCACATGTCTTAAAATTGCCAAGGTTGAGAAACACTGCTGTAGAAAGTCTATTTCCCACAACTCTCGATTAGGATATGTTTACCATAAATTTGCAACTGAAGCCACTGAAATGGCTAGATACAAAAGACAATGGGGCTGTAATCCTTTTGACAGTTCTGATAAAGATGCGTACTGAAATGCCATTTTTACTATACAACTATTAAAGTTGCAGCATTTCTGCTGTTAAGCATGACTTTGTATTTCTGAAACAATGGAAAAGGATGAAGTGCTCCAACTGGCTAAATATTAAACAAAGATCTCTTGACTGACCTCTTCCCAGTGTTTGAATTATAAGCAGTTGTTAAAACTGGAAAAAAAGAGAGAAAAACTTACCAAGATTATCCTCTTGTATAAAAGAGTAAGACATTACAAA